GGCCAATAACAACTGATGAAATCGAAGCATCGATTTAAAAACTTCCAGCAAACAAAAGTCCTGGACCAGATGGATTTATAGGCGAATTTTACCAAACATTCAAAGAAGAACTAACACCCATCATTCTCAAACTATTGCCAAAAATTCAAGAGGAAGGAACACTTTCAAGCTCTTTTAACAAAGCCAGCATTAACCTAATTCCAAACCCAGATAAAGATACTACAAAGAAAGAAAATTACAGGCCAAGAGCCCTGATAAACACAGAAGCTAAAATCCTCAGCAAAATAGTGGCAAATTGGATCCAGCAATATATTCAAAAGATCAAACACCATGATCAAGTAGGATTTATTCCAGGGATGCAAGGCTGGTACAATATTTACAAATCAATAAATGTGATAAATAATATAAACAAATTGAAAGATAAAAACCACATGATCATATCAATAAATGCAGAAAAAGCATTAGACAAAATCCAGCACCCTTCTTTGATAAAAACTCTCAGCAAAGTGGGAATAGAGGGACAATACCTCAACATAATAAAGGCCATATATGACAAACCTACAGCCAACATAATACTCAACGGGCAAAACCCAAAAGTGTTTCCCTTAAGAACAGGAACAAGACAAGTATGTCTGCTTTCACCACTCTTATTCAACATAGTACTGGAATTCCTAGCCACAGCAATCAGACAAGAAGAAGAGAAAAAAGGCATCCAAATTGGAAAGGAGAAAGTAAAACTGTTATTACTCGCAGATGACATCATACTGTACATAGAAAACTCTAAAGACTCCACCAGGAAACTACTAGACTTAATAAATGAATTTGGCAATGTAGCAGGATACAAAATCAAAATTCACATCGATGGCATTTTTCTACACCAATAATGAACTCTCAGAAAGAGAAACTAAAAAAGCAATCTCATTTAGCATTGCAACAACAACAACAAAATAAGATACCTAGGAATAAACTTAACCAAGGAGGTAAAAGACCTGTACTTGGAAAATAATAGGACATTGAAAAAAGAAACAGAGGAAGATACAAACACATGGAAGCGTATACCATGTTCATGGATTGGAAGAATTAACATCATTAAAATGTCTATACTACCCAAAGCAATCTACAGATTCAATATAATCCCTATTAAAATACCAATGGCAGCCTGGCTGGTGTGGTTGAGTGTTGTCCTATGAACCAGGAGGTCAGGGTTCAATTCCCGTTTTGGGCACATGCCCACTTTCGGGCTAGATCCCCAGTGTGGGGCATGTAAGCGGCAGCCAATCAATGATTATTTCTCATCATTGATGTTTCTATCTCTCTCTTTCTCCCTCTCCCTTCCTCTCTGAAATAAAAATATATTAAAAATTACAATGGCATATTTCACAGAGCTAGAATTATATATAATGATCAAGTAGCAGTTATCCTAGGAATGCAAGGTTGGTTTAACATCTGAAAGTCAATAATGTAATACATCATATTAACAAAATAAAAAATAAAAAAACCACACAATCGTCTTAAGAGATACAGAAATGCATTTGACAGTACCCAATACTCTTTCATGTGTGAGTGTGTGTACACACAAATAGAGGTGATAGTTAAAATGTATGGGGTTTCTTTTTGAAGTGATGAAAATACTCTAAAACTGACTGTGGTGATGGTTGCACATCTGTATGAATATATTAAAAACCACTAAATTGTACACTTCATTATTTTAAAAATTTTATTTCATTTTTTCCATCACCTTTTATCTCCTCTCTGCCCTCTACCACTTCCACCTATACCCTTCCATCTCATGATCACCACACTATTGTCCATGTTCTCTCTCTCTTTTTTTTTTTTTTTGCTCAATCCCTCCACCATTCCAACCCTCTGCCCTAACCATCCAGAGCTGTCTGCCGACTATGTATCTATGAGTCTGTCTCTATTTTGCTTAATAGTTTAATTTGTTCATTAAATTCCACATATGAGTGAAGTCACATGGTACTTGTCTTTCTCTGACTGGCTTATTTCACTTTGCATAATGTTCTCTAGGTCCATCCATGCTGTCACAAAGGGTAAAACTTTCTTCCTTTTTATGGCAGGGTAGTATTTCATTGTATAAATGTACCACAGCTTTTTTATCTATTCATCTACTAAAGGACACTTGGACTGCTTCTAAATCTAGGCTAATGTAAGTAACACTGCAATGAACACAGGGGTACATATATTCTTTCTAATTAGTGATTTGGGGTTTCTTCAGATAAATTCCCAGAAGAGAAATCCCTGGGTCATAAGGCAGTTCCATTTTTAATTTTTTGAGGTAACTCCTTACTGCTTTCCACAGTGGCTGCACCAATCTGCATTGCTACAAACAGTGCAAAGGTTCCCTTTTCTCCACATCCTTGCCAACACTTGCTTTTTGTTGATATTGATGGTAGCCATTCTGACAGGTGTGAGGTGATATCGTATTGTAGTTTTAATTTGCATTTCTTTGATGATTATAACAATGATAATTTTTTATGTCTATTGGTCATCTATATGTCCTCTTTGGAGAAATGTTTATTCATATCCTTTGCCCATTTTTAATTGGATTGTTTATTGGTGTTGAGTTTTATAAGTACTACATACATTTTGAATATTAACCCCTTCTCAGATTTATCATTGGCAAGTATGTTTTCCCATTCTATAGTTTGTCTTTTCATTTTGTTGATGGTTTCCTTTTCTGTGTAAAAACTCTGTAGTTTAATGTAGTCCCATTTGTTTATGTTTTCTTTTGTTTCCCTTGCCTGAGGAAAAAATATTGCTATAAGAAATATCCGAGATTTTACTACCTATGTTTTCTTATAGCATTTTTACGGTTTTGAGTCTAACATTTAAGTCTTTAATACATTTTGAGTTTATTCTTGTATATGATGTAAGAACATAGTCTAGTTCCTTTTTCTTTTGCATGTATCTCTCCAATTTTCCCAACACCATTTATTGAATTGACTATCTTTAATCCATTGTATATTTTTGCCTCCTTTGTCAAATATTAATTGACTATAAAGGTGTGGATTTATTTCTGGACTCTCAATTCTATTCCATTGATTTATATGTCTGTTTTGTGCCAGTACCATGCTGTTTTGCTAAATTGTACACTTTAAATGGGTAAATTGTATGGTATGTGGATTATACCTCAATAAAGCTATTATTAAAAACTAGAGGCCCAACGTGTGATTGAAATCATGCGAGGAGGCACCCTGCCTCCCACCGTGCGAGGAGGCATCCCGTGGGCCACCGCGGGAGTCAGGCCTGACTGGAGCCATGGGCGGCTGGGTCCTGTGCCTGACTTCCACCCCAGGACCCCCCTACCCCCTGCCTGTATCCGCTCTGGGATGCTGGAGCCTCTGTGCCAGCTCGGGCAGGCCCCCCTGAGTCTGTCTCCGTCTCCGCTCCAGGCCTTACCTGCGCACGCAACCTCCTCCTGTCTGGTCGTGACCTGTTATGGCATCCCAGCCTAATTTGAATATCACCTCTTTATATGTATAGATACCAACAAAAGTGAGCTATAGATGCATAGTGGTTGTACCTTAGACATGGCCTGTGCTCTCCATCTGCTACAGTCCCCACCACTGCCTATTACGGCCCAGCACTGAAGCTAAGCATCAGGTGATATTTTTTTTTGTTTTTTATTTTTTCAGGTGACATTTCAGCATAGCACTCCCCAGGCATGTTCCTCGCACCCTGCTTGTTTTTCTCTTTACTTTGAACCTGTCCCACCTCAGAGGCAACTAATTTTGTGACCCAGGTGGTAAGACAGTCAGTGGATGCAAACAGATAAACAGACTTGCAGAAAGTCATGGCTGGACATGTCCTGCAGAGACTGAGGTGACATAGTTTGATTTCTGACTAGGCCACAAACTTACTGTACAACCATGGGCAAGTACCCTGGCTGTATTTCTGAAAGGAGATTTAGGGAATAGGTCTCTGTGAAGGTTAATTATGGTTTTAGCCTTCCCTGGAATTAGAAAGCTTGTTCCATGCTGTTGCCAGTCTGTTAGGGCTCACCTCTGGGAACAGGGCAACAATAAGGCCACTGTGGGCATCAGGACAGCAGGTGACTAACGGCCAGGATAAGGTCCTAACCTGTCCGCCCTCACTGTACTATCTGCACTACTCCCACCACATGCCAGACACTGAATCAACCTGGCCCCTTTCGAGTTCAGCAGGAAGTTTCATTTGGTGCTGTGTAATTGGGGCACTCCTTACACACCTGGCAGTCAGCCCTTAACAAAGGGAAAGCTGGTCTTAGGTTCAGAATATTCCAATGGCAATAAAAGAGCTGCAATTGATGACACTGCTTTGGTGTCATCACTGTATTTTTGTTTTTGGCTGCCTGCATTTATGTAAGTAAGAATTTCCTTTTAAAGAAAGTTAGGTTTTCATGATTGCATAACTCAATATACAGATATGCAGGTATTGAGAATATTGGTGTGTGTTTTTCATCCTTTCACTCTTTGCTATAACTGCAGGGCTATTTTTTTAAAAAAATGATTTAAACTACCAAAATGCTCTACATGGAGAAAATGGCTGAGTATAAAAGGCTGCACAGAAATAACATGGGAAAACACTTAGGATAAAATAATTGAAAAAGTGGAATGCTAAATTCTTCTATGCCATGGACAAAGATGTCACATTTGTAGGAATAGGGAGAGGATTGAGAAAGGAATGTGGAAAAAACATAAAAAGCTAATACATCTTTTAAAAGCAACTTTATGGTTGTTGTAGTGGTGCTTATGTAATCTTATGATATTTTAATCCTAATAAAGATTTACTAAAAGGAAGCCATTGGCTAACTAATAGTGTGGGTAATTTGTGGAGATGAAATAAAAATCACAAAGGTAGCAGACAAATGACTGAAGTTGCACAACAATGAATCAGAGAATCTAGAGACCTTGCAAACTACAGCTGACAGTGCCAACCTTTGAAATAATCAAATCAGGAAGCCTATGGCCACCCAATGATAGAGACGGGCCCCCACTCACCATGGCACTGCCCCTGGCCTCTTGGTAGGCCACCTTGACGATGTCAGTGGTGCTGGTGTTGAGGAAGAAGTAGCCGGAACCTTCTCTGATATGCAGCTCTGCCTGCAAGGAGGGTCAGTCTAAGAGGCCAGGACTGCCACGCCAATGGGCCACATCTAGGTGGCAAGGCAGCAGGAAAGGGGCTGTACCTGTACTCCAGGGTGGTTGTAGATGGTCACCTCTTCCGGACTCACCCTCACATCCTCTACCAAGATGAGTTCTATAGAGGCCGACACAGGCACAAGAGGGTCCTGCTGAAAGGGCAAGACCAACACCATCATATCCAGGAAGCAACAGGCCAACCCCGTGAGCCCACAGGCCTTCCACCCACCCTTGCCCCTGGGGAAGAGTAGGACCAGAGGCCCCAGGTTCCGGTATCATTTGTTATGTCTAGGACACAAGTCCTGATGAATCCATTGTGTGAGCCCAGCTCAGAGGCCATGTCCCTTTGAGGCATCTCATAATCCTGCCAAGGCAAGTGCCCCATCCTACCTTCCAGGTTCCACATGGTGGACAATTCACAAACATCCAGGAAAGCAGGGGGCACACAGCAACCGGCCAGCTGTAGTGCCATGTATGACATGTGTACTGGGCAAACAGCAAAGACCCTGACCAGCCTAAACATGGGAGTACTGCACAGGTGTCCTCAAGGTGCTCACAAGAGGACAAGCTTGGCTTACACCCCTTGGGCCATGTGCATATTTAAGTATCTTTCTTTCCTGCCACGTCATTCCAGGGAGACTGCTGGATCTGACCTGGCTTTGACCCACATATACTCACACATTTGAGCACCTACTCTGTGCCAAGCACTGCACTAGGCACTGTGTTAGGCACTAGAGGGACAGCAGCTACCCTCAGGGAGATGATTCTAATGCAAGGATTAGAGAAAAAGAATGACAGAAAGATGTGATTGTGGTGGGGGCTGAAGGGACCATGACAGGTCTGAGAGGGAGAGACTCTCAGGTGTGCCTCTCAGATGAACAGAGACACAGAAAGTGAAGGTATGAATGATGTAAATAAATTGCAAAAAGCCCACAGGGCAGAGTGTAAGTGCAAAGGCCTTGAAGGGGGATCTGCTTAGATGTTTATAGTCCAGAAGGAGGCCCATGAGGCCAACAGCTGAGATGTTAGTGAAATGACTGAGAACCTAAGCCATCAGGGTCAGGTACCAGTATGCTCCTCAGGGCTACCTTCCTCCAAGCTAGCCTCTTAGTGCTGCTCCCATTGGTGTCACACCCTCTTCAAGTGTCCCTGCTCCCCAATACCCCAGTTCCTCGTCCTAGCATTCAGAGTCCCTCAGAGTCAGACACACCTTCCCTCCACAGTCATTACCTGCTGCCTCCACCCCATTCACAATCCAATCTGACTGCCACCCTCTTCCATGATGGGGTGGGTGTCATCCAGGCAGTGCCATTCTGGGGGAACCCTTCCCACTCACCTTATAGGTGCCCACCTGCCACCCACTGCAGCACCTCTGCCTGGGCCCCCATGAGAGGCTGGGTGGAGAGGTGTGGTCCAGTGGATGGCCACATGTGTATGCAGACAGGGTGTCAGTGCATGTGTGGAGGCTGCACTAGGAGAGCAGGAAGCATGAGGGGCTCTAGGACCTGGGGCAACAGCGGCTGCTCTGTGGGGAGAGTGGCTGCGCTGTGGGGATATTTTAGGTGGGACTAAAAGAACAGGAGGTTCCTGGGAGAGAAGAATAAAAGGAAGGAGGAAATGGAATTCCAGGGAACAGAACTGAGGGTTCAAAGGCATATAGAGGCAGGGGGCAGGGGCTGTAAGTCAGGTCAATCAGGGAGAAGAGTGTGGATGGGCAAGCCCTGGCTGAGGATGAGGACGGCTCCTGCCCTTAAGTCTGCGGGCTCCCAAAGCCATGTCCTGGAGCCGAAAGGGGGCACTGGTTCCCTTCAGTCCCCTGAGTGCAGGTCATGCAAGGTGGGGGAGACTGGAGGCGGGAGGCCAGCAAGGAGGCTCACCAATTCAGGTGAGTGTACCTTACCTGATTCAGGGAGAAGGGCAGTGAACTGAGGGGTGTGGCCCAGTGCAGGGGCTCAGGACACTACAACTGAAGAGAATGCAGGAGGAGCAGAAGACCCCACCCCCAATGTGCCCTGGGAGTTACCAGCTGCTTCACGCTGGCTGCGAGGAGGTGGGACTGCTGGTAGCCAGTCACGGTAGCAGAAATGGCTGTGGTTCCCGATGCCTTGTGAACCGAAATGGCCTGCAAACCTGAGTCCAAGAAGAGAAAAACCCATGTCTTTTTTTTTTTTTTTGCCCCACTGCTGCCTGTGAAACAGACCCTCCCTCCTTCTGATTTGCAGTTTTAAATCTTCCAGTCCTAAAGGTAGATGTGAGTTTGTTGAAACTTTATGTATCATAATGGTTGACATAGCAAGGTTCCATGAAGCAGTTTAGATGAGCTGGAGATGTTCAACTCCCAGCTGCTGGGGCCAGGCCAACCTGCTGTATAGCCTAGGACGTGGGGGTCACCTGCAACAGGCTCTGAACCTGCTCTCTATCTCTCAAACAAGGTCATAGGTTTAAAGGAGAGTGGTAAGCCCACAATGCTCCCTAAGTTTCCATCTTAGATAAAAGGGTGTCCCAGATAACAGCTCCCAACAGCCGCTAGCACTCCTCAGACACCTCTTGTCTGTAGGGTTTCACTGCTCTCTGTCTTCCTGTCCTGGGCCTGCAGGCTCACCACCCCAGCTCACCATGCAACTTCTGGCCACTCCCATCATCCCGGGACACCAGCTGCATGGGCAGGTCAAGCTCGATGCTGGCCAGCAATGGCCTCGTCGACTCCCACTGGATGCTCAGAGAGCTGAAGTTACTGAACTGGCGGCCCTGCTGGTCATAGACAGCCAAGTCCAGGAGGGGGTTGCGGTGGCTGGAGACTGGAACCTGCAAGAAGCCAAGGTCAGGTGCTGTGACCATACCCAGATCACAATGGGCACACTGTTCAGAGTAAGCATTGAGGACCCATAGCAGCACAGCCACTCCTGGTGTTCCAGGAACCCAGCAGACTGCCTTATGGGCTCATTAGGGTCCTGGTGAGCAACTCGGGGCAAGTCACTAACCAGTCCTCATTACTGCCCAGTGATCAAGGTGCCCACAGCCTTGGCCTCTTACTCTAGCTCATGATTCTCAACGAGGGCAAAGGGGCTTTGACGACATCTAAAAGCATTTTTATTATAAACTGCAGGGGGTGCAAACAGTATCTAGTGGGTAGAGGTCAAGGGTACTGCTGTATACCCTACAGTACACTGGTCAGCACCATGAGGAGAAAAAATCTGGTCCAAAACATCAATAGTGCCAAGGTTGGGAGACTGCCACAGACCTCCCATCCCAGCCAGGCTGCTGTCCCACCCCTCTGCCCTCACCTTTCCAAATCCTTGCTGCTTCCTCCCTGCCCCCATACACCTCTGCTCTCCAGGATGTGTCCCTTAGTAGTTTAACAGGAATGCCAATTCCAGCTCCAAAAAGCTCTTGCAAAGCTCCTTGCTCCTAAAATATCTCAGAGACGTGGGAGCTGTCACCCACATATCAAGGGTGAGGAAGCAGAGTCCCCAAGAATAGAAGGAGCAAAGCAACTCAGTGGCTGAGTGGCACACCTACAGGATTCAGTTCCAAACCCTGAATTCTACCATCTACCCTCACCTCTCTGGCCCTTATGGTTAGGAGTGACCATGTCATTTACTTTGGCCAGTGACAAGTGACTTGAGACAATTCCAGGAGACAGAAGACTTAATAGCCAGAACATGATCTGCCATGGTCTCCTTGTCTCCACAATGCCACCTGGCCATACTCAACTTGGCGATGCTCACATCTAAGTCTTGGAAGGAAGATCACAATGACACACAGTAGGGTCCCCAGCCCGCCCAGATGCACAGGTAGTGTGAGTAAGAGTATGCCTGTGCTGTGTGAAGCCAGTGGGACTTGGGGCTGCTTGTCGTTGTAGCCTCGCCTCATCTGCCCTAACTATTATAGCCCTCAAACTCCCCACCACGCATGGCTGCTCCCCAAGTCTTAGGTCGTTTTCCCCAAACACTGAACCAAAGCAAGTTGCAAATTGTAAATGCAAATCAGCACAATCACCTGAGAATGCAAAGGGTTTTATAAGTATCTGGACACAAACTGGGAGCCATGACTATGGGCAGAGACAAGGGGCATGTGCTGGGTGCCCCATTTCTCCCTCCAGATGCAAACCTGGGTGAAACACTACTATTCCTCCCTCCCTCCTGCTCTCCCAGGGAAGGACATTAATACTGTATGTCAAGCATGCTTGCATGTTTACTGGATCCTTCCCATGGCCATTTCAGGCACGATATAATCCCTAACTTACAGATGGGGAAGCTGAGGCTCAGAGACATCAGTAACTTGCCCAAGGTCACACAGGGTTAGGGGTGGAACTGCTGGTCTGATCTGAAAGCCCATGGGCCTCCTCGGACAGTGTGCAGCTTCTCTCTGGCTCGAGAGTGAGGCTCCGATGGCTACTCAGTCTCCTGGCGTGCAGCTGCAGTGACCAGAACTTGGATGACCTGAACGAAGTGCCAGCGTCAGGCCAGAGTGTGGTTCCATTGTCATTCCAACCAGTCAGCTCTGTTCTAGTGTCTGGCCTTGCCAATAATTTACTCTGCAAATGTGTCTTGGGTAGCCTTTGGCTTTAGAGAAGTGTAAAATTAAATTGATACTGCACCCAGGATATATGGCAGGGATACAGCTTTCTCAAGGTCCCCTAGTGACACCATAAATCACAGGGTCCCTGCCTAATCAGCTCTCAGCACCAGAACCCCAGCACTGATGACCACACGGCAATTCCATGTTCAAGGTCTACTGCTTCCTGATGATTGAGGTCTACAGCACATGCAAGCTAATGCAGAGCCATGCCCTGCTGCCTGGCCAGCATCCTTCAGTCAAGAGAGACAACCCTGGGCTGACCCAGAGGTCACACACTATGGACGGCCTGAACCTGCTCCCTGGACGAGGAGCCAGCATTTAAGGACAGGGAAGCTGCACATAATCTGATTGGTTTTTGTTTTGAAAATGAGGTTTGGCTAGCCTGGGGTTGAATGGGCTGGAGCTGAGCAAGCAGGCCGTCCTGTGCGGTCCTGCTCCCGAGGCTGGCACCATCCACTGTACCCTTTCCTCGGGAGTGTCTCCACTGGGATTCTTGAGGTGTCTACACAGCCAGAGTCATGGACAGAAGGCCACTGGGACACAAGCAGTGAGTTCTTTGCCATGCTCATGCGCCCGCCACATTTACTGAGCTCCTGCCATGAGCCAGGCTCCCCTAGAGGCTCACAGAGGAGAGAAGAAACATTGTACAGTGTGCTCAGTGGTGTTCAGTGCTGGCTGAGGGAAGGGACCTGGATATGGAATGTGGAGGGTGAAACTTCAGATAAGGTCTGAAGGCCGAGGAAGGCCCCACTGAGGAGGTAATGTGTGAATGAAGAACTAAAGGAGGCAAAAGAGGAAAGCATGGGGTGGGAGGGGAGAGAATTCGAACCAGAGGGCATGGCAAGTTCGAGACCCACACAGGATCATTGCTCACAGGTGACAGGGCTTCCAGCAAGGATGGAGTGGGCAGCAGAGAGAGACGTGGCCTTGCCTCAGTGAGTGGGATGCCACTGGCAGGGTTGAAGTGGAGAACAAGGAAAAAGCCTAACAGGTACCAGACTGAACCCCTTTCTCCAACAATGACTCTGGGAGGCCAGTCACCCCCAATCACTCGGAGGAGACCAGCCATATCCGGGGTAGGGTTGGGCCCTAACTCTCGGCCTGTGGACGCGAGTGCTGTCCAGCTCCAAGCCTCACACAGTGGACCCAGCAGGCCAGGTTTTCCCAAAGAGTCCGGACTTATTGCAATTTTAGTCTTTTAGGGCATAATTTGCTAAATGCATAAAAGTTATTTAAAATGTAAAACTTTCAGGACATTCATTCTCAATAGTTCCCAAAGTCTGGGAAATAAAAATGTTTCTGTTTGGGAAAGATGGTCATCAGCTCCATGCCACAAACACCCAGGCCTGAGCTAGGGGGTGACACTGGCTTCTCGGGGCTCTGAGCCTGCTCTCCTCACTTGTCAAGAGGGCACAAAGGTGGGACAATCCTCGCCCAGTCCCCGCTAGCTCTGAGGCGGAGCACAGAGTCCTCACTTTTAATGATGCCTCAGGACACCGTTATGGGATCAGCATCAGGGCTGGAGGAGCTCACACACCACGTGTCTCAGAGCTGGGTGACTAGTAAAGCCCAAGAGAAGGCAGAAGCCCACCCACCGATGCCAGAGCAGTGGAAGGAAAAGTTGAACTAAATATGTAGAGTCATGTGCTAGATGGTGGAATTGTTCCCAAATCCCAGACACTGGAGTCTGGTGCTTTCCCTGGAACTTCGACCAAATACAAAGCAGCTCTGTCCTCCATCCAGCAAGGAGCTAACTCCCAAATTTCGAAGGCTGCCAGGGTGGGAGAGGCTGCTGATATAAACTGCTTCAGAAAGGTTCCCATAGGTGCAAAGAGGACAGGCACTGAGTGTTCTCTGGAGAACTGCGGAGAGTGGAGAGGGTTCCCCGATGCCACAGAAGCAGAGGGCAGCTAGATCAAGACCGGGCTGGGAGAAGAGAAGCAGCTCCAGGGGCCACTGGGGAGGCACTGAGCTTGGAGCTGGGCAGATCTACGCTCTGCCTTTGGGACCTTGCCCATCTCTGAGCCTCGTGGACAAACCTGTGAAGGGGCTGCAAGGACCCTGGGGTCATAGACAATCCTGGTGACAGGCAATGAGGCACAGAGGTGAAAGTTCTTAGCACAGATGACTTGTGTGATTATCATGTGAGCACAGGGACACCAAGACCCTGGTCTGGCCTCAAGGCCTTTGTACTGCTGTTCTATCCGCCCAGGGTACCCTTATCTCAGCTCTTTTCAGCCAAGGGCCTGAGTGGGATGTGCTCTCTGCTCCCGGGCCTTTCCTGGCTCCATCTGAAGGGGCCTCCACCAGTAGCTGTCTCGCACCCTACTTTACTTCCCCCACAGCACTTCCCACCTTCTCACCCATCCTGTCACCTCTGTGGGGAAGGTGCCTCACCTGTCCTGATTGCCCTATATCCAAGACATGGAACTGTGCCTGGGCACAGAGGAGGTGCTCAACAAACAAATGTCAAGGAATGAGTGAAAAGAAGCCTAGTGCCCGCCTCTGAGGAGGGCTGGGGCCAGCTGCAGGTTCACACACCTGAACCTGCACAGCAGGACTTCCAAGCTCTCTGTCCAGTCATCTGGCCTCTGAGCGCCTCAGGGGTAGAGGGTTGGTTGGCTGCAACCCCAAGGGGACCAGACCTTTGGGTTTCACCTCACCTCCCTGCTGTTCTTCTCTCTGACCACGTTTTCAGCACAGTCCCTGGAGAACACTGCAGCTGGGCCCTGTCCTTGGCAGCCCTTCCTCTGACCACACACACTGCCCGCGGACAACAAGCCCTGCCTTATCATCCTCAAGTCACAGAAAAAAAAGATTTTTACAAACTGCCAAGTGCTGTGCAGAGAGAAGCAGCTGCTCCAGGTGCCAGAGGCTCCACCTTCGCCGGTGCTGCCACTAGCAGCTGGGCCTGCTGAGTCTTATCACCTCTCTAGGTCTTGGGAACCCCCAAAGGTAACATTCAGGCAAAAGTGCCCACCATGCAGGGCCAGCTGAGTGTAGAGATGTGCTGTGCACTGAACCGCTACAATCCCCAAGCAGTGCCCACTCACCACCTGCTTGTTCTGCTGCAGCAGCGGACAGGACAAGCCCAGCTGGGGGCTGGCGTAGACAGGCGTCAGGGTGACCCTGGAGGGTGTGGCGCACACAAACTTCACCACAGCAGGCTCCAGCGCAGGGAAGGGGTTGGTGATGCTGGGCTTGTTCCCCACTGAGAGGGCAATGACCTGGCAGAGCACAAGGAGCAGTCAGACATCCCCAAGTTTGAGGCTCGGCTCCACTGTGCGCCTCACCTTGCCACCCAGCTCCATGGGACTCAGTGTGCTTTTCTGCAGAATGGGAATGATAATGACATGTACATCATGGGGGACGGGGAGGGGTGGGTACAAAAGTCCAGTGACATAGGCATGGGAGATTGGAGCCACTAGTGCCCTCTACAGACATCAGCCAGAACCACTGCCCAGGAAAGAGGTGGATTGGTGGCACCACGTGGCTTCCCAGCATCCTATGAAAACCCCAGGTTGCATGAACAAATTCCCAAGTCTGGGTTGTTAAATGAAGAGTCCATCCTGACTTGAAAACATTCATCACAACGAGGTACAGGTGTGAGAGGACGTGTGCTACCGGACTGAGACCTGTGCGGGGACCAGAAAAGAGAGTGGTCCTGATCCCCTAATGACACATACACTCTGTAGGAAGGCATGGTCTGGTCCAGAGCCTCTCACCCTTCCTGACCTTTGGGCAGGACAAAGGGCAGTTTCCACGCTGACCCGCAGGGTTTCTGCCTACAGCCTGGCCTGACACCCCAAGAAAGTAATACACAGACCAGTAGAGTGGGCAAGCTGCCCTCGATCCACGTAATTCCAACCCTCAGGGGTTCCAGTGACAGACACATTTTGTTCAGTCTACCCAGTCTCCTAATTTCTTGGTTTTCAACATTAAAAAGAAAATGAAAATTGCCTGGCTAGTGTGGCTCAGTGGTTGAGCTTCAATCCATGAACCAGGAGGTCATGGTTCAATTCCAGGTCAGGGTGCATGACTGGGTTATGGCTCAATCCCCAGTGGGAGGCGTGCAGGAGGCAGCCGATCAATGATTCTCTCTCATCATTGATGTTTCTATCTCTCCCTCTCTCTTCTCTCTGAAATCAATAAAGACATATTAAAATAAATAATAATAATAAATAAAAATGAAGAGATTTCACAGAAAAAAGTATTGGGATTCCCAGATTATCGTGAAATACCAAAAAGATCTGACAAATGTGGCCCTGCGACTTCACTCTTTACAAGACCTGCCTGCCCCTGGAGGCATCTGACAGTGCCCCTGATCTTAGCTCAGGCCTGATTTGGTAGTGGGGAGTGTTGAAGCCTGGAGAGAGAAGAGGTCACCAGGTTGTTGAAATGGAGCCAGGACTGACTAGCTCTATCAAAGCCAGAGTGTATAGGAAGGGGGTCCCAACCGCATACCCTGCTAGATCTGCTTGCATTCACTACATTCTACCTCACTGATCCTCATCTGTCTGTGAGATGGGTATAGCAGCAGCAGCTATCTCTCAGGTATAGCAACAGAGCCTTCTGCTCTGTATGTGAGATGGATATAGCAGCAGAGCTGGGTATAGAACTGACTGAACAGTTTGATCACAGCCATTTTGATTAAATAAAATGATGCTGTGAATACAGCAGGGTCCTCCCTCTGGACAAGGTGATCTGGGGGCGGCTGTCCTCTCACCTGTTCGCCCAAGGCCTGGCAAGTCACGAGGATCCAATGTTGCTGGTAATTACGGGAGGCAGGGGGCCCAAGGAGAGCCAGACTGATGCTGTGAGTGTCCTCGGAGGTGACATTTCGGAAGAACTTGGACGGCTCCAGGACCCAGGGCCTGGGACCTCCTTCGAACAGCATCTCCTGTGAGGAGCCAAGGGTCACCAAGGCAACAGAGGAGGGGTTCACAGCCTGTGGGAGCAAAAAGAAGAGTCAGTGCCTTCCTCTGAGAGGCACGTGTAGAGGCCTGCCCTGCCCTGTGGAGGCCACACAGCCCCGCTCCTGGTGCTCATCGGCAGCACTGCCCGTGCTGTTGGTGCAAACGTGCTCTGAGGGGAATTCTGTCCTCCTCTCTGATACTGCTGGGGTGAAGGGAGCATAAATTGATCTGCTTCTTTTGTAAAACAATCCGGTAAAGGCCTTGAAAATACTCACTGTCCTTGACACAGGAACTTCCCGTCTGGAATCTAACCTAAGGACAGTCTAGGAAGGAGGGAAATGAGCTCATGCAGAGAGGCTCACACATAGCCATTTCCTACTGCAGATGCCCAGCGCGGGGCTGCGTGAGTGCTTGGTGCATCCACAAGGTGTACAATCCTAGCTGGGCTGCAGGAGTGCCTCGTGCATCGCGATGGGGCCTGTGTGGGTCCCTAAGGCAGAGCTGGGTATGGAACTGACTGAACAGTTTGATCACAGCCATCTTGTTTTAAAAAGCATGAAACAATTCTAAACAGAAACACACCAGACGACCAGGGGAAACACAGACTGGTGTCATTGAGGGCATAATTCAGAGTGGTTTGTTTCCTCACTTCTTTCTCCACTGCATTTCTTGCACTTCCTTCAACGTGTCCATGAGCTTTGGGGAACAAGCCTTTCTGCCGTTTTGCTCCCAGCACCTAGAACAGTGCCTGGCACAGAGTAGGTGTTCAATTATTTGTTAAGTGAAAGAGTGAATATTAAGTCCTCAAAGTACCCAATCTACAAAGAATAAATTAAAGTAATTTTTTACAAAAAGCTCTCATCTGCTCTCCCGGCCTAGGGTGACCGTGTGTTGCGGGCCCCAGGGGTTCCTTCAGGGATAGTGGCAGTGCTGAGAATCTGTGGAAAGGATGTCATTCCCATATCACAGCGGGTTTGCTCCACATGAGGACACTTCCCTCTACAGACATAGCTGGGGTGTGAGGAAGCAGGGAGTCCTGAGGGCCCTGCAGCCCTGCTCTTCTGCCCCCTGCCTGGGCTGCTGAGCTCCTGCTCCAGGGGATCCACAGGGTTAGCACCCAGTCCTGACTTGTGAGCCTGCTTCCCTGCTAGTCACTACAGTCTGCCCTCCGAGAGCTGCCAGGTATTCCTTCCGAAAACACAGACCATGCCCTGTCTGCATTAAATGGTTCCATAGTGCCGGCCGCCCTGGGAAGAAAGGCTGAGCTAGCATTTTACCCTAGGATTCAGGCTCTCCCAGCCTGGCCTCGCCTATCTCTCTCGAGTCCCACCTTCAGACTAGTCTGTCCCCAGGCTATCCTGCGCCCCCTGCCCACTCCTTCCTCTAAAAAGCTCCTGCTTCCTCCCTCACCAGGTGACCCTCAACCTGCCAGGTAGGTGGCTCATTCTTTGGTTCCTGCTTCGAGTGTTGCTCAATCATATTGGGAGGAAAGGATTTGTTTGGGTATCTATCTCCTGATCAGGCTGTGGGCTCATTAAGAGGAGGGAAATATGTGTCTGTTTCCTTCTGTATTCACAGCATGATCTCAACCACATGAGAAATAAAATATCATATAGGAAAAATTAAAATATTAAAAAAAACAAGAATGTACAGCCACACTGTGATATTTTTCAGCCATCTGATTGATACAAGTCCAAAAGTTTGACGCTCTAGCAAGCACACTGCTGGTGGGTAGATAACAGTGTACTCTTCCAAAATTAGTTCATTTTGACCCAACACACATGCCTCCCACTGCAGTGTGCCAGCCTCTGCCCTGCCCCCTGTCTGCGGTGTCTGACGACCATGCAGAGCCTGACTTCTCTCAGCTCCGTCCATGCTCTCACCCCTGGGCTATGTCCAGATCTGCCAACAGCCTATAGTCCTTGCAGGTACAGGCTAATAACCACTCAGCTGTCCCCCACAGTCCTGGACCCAGAGCAGTGCCCCAACCAGATGCCACCTAAGGTGGAAACAAACTCCCACCTGAGTGGCAGCTTTATATGCACACACCCTCAAGGATGGGGTAGGGCTAGTGGCTAAAGTGATGATCTGCTGAGGCCTATAGGTGCAGGCTCGCCTAGTTGGCTTTTCACAGTATACCCTTAGCAAAAAAAAGGGTATTACTTTTCAATGAGAATTCTCTCCTTTTGAATTACTTTTCGCAATATGAACACTTTTCTGGGTTTATCAGCCAACAACTCCCCATGCATCCCCTCCCTGCACACGTGCACAGGTCTGCTCAAACGTCACCTCCTCAGAGAGGCCTTCCCTAACCCCATCCAAAGCAGGACCTCCCAACACTTGTTACTTCCTTCCCTTATCACTACCTACCATCACTTTCTATGTTTATTGTCCATCTGCTTCTCTGTCCCCACAACGGGAACAACACTGCCACTTGCTCAGTCTCTCATGCTGTAAAATGAGCATGAGAAGAGCTCCTGCCTTGCAGGGTTATTGCAGCTTCAAGGGAGTGGGAATGAACACATCCAGCACAAGCTCAGTTAACAGTCTTTGCTATTATCACTGTCATTAGTATGAACTGTCATCCCATTTTACAGATGGAAAACATGAATCCTGGCAAAGAAATTTACCCAAGTTTACCCAGCTATTCTGGCTTCAGATGCCCTGCTCTTGCCCATGTCTCAATGCCACAGTCCGCAAAACTCTGCTGTGGGTAAAGCAGGCCACTGCAGACGTCACCAAAGGAAGTTTTCATGACCAACCCAAAGGGAAAGGTTGTGCAAAGGAACCAGATGCCCTATAACCAACAGCCAGAGAACTAGGAATTATCACTTTCGCACGGAATTCCATTCTCATTCGGCATAAAAGTGTCACAGAAATCTATGCCAGGGAGATAGGTCAATAACCAACACCACTAATGAGGGACACTCAGAAACCGTACAGGCTCCTTAGTACACATCAAAGTGCAGATATTAAAACAGGCAAAGCCAGGGACTCGAGTGCCCATGTAGCTAGAGCGAGGTCTCCACCCTGGGCCTCCTTTTCTTGTTTTGCAAAACAAGAAGATGGGTCTGGCCATCAAGAGGCCCTTAGTGCTGGAAGTATATGTTTCTAGGAGATATAACAGATGCACTTTTTTGTAGGGAAATCACAGCTGGTGTAGGATCAAGAGGCAGAAGGCCAGGGACAGGGCAGAGGGAGATTCAGGCCCCAGGCACCTGGCTGGCCCAGGGTGATGCATTCAATCTATGCTGACGGACAGAAGGAAGAAGCAGGTGGGCTCTCCAGACCCAGCACTTGGAGGCTTCACAAGAGTGATGTGCAGGTGGGACAGACCCTCCATGTACAATATCATGTCATTTGCAAATAATGACAGTTTTACTTCTTCTTTTCCAATTTGGATGCCTTTTATTTCTTCTTCTTGTCTTGGCTAGCACTTCCAGTACTTGTTGAATAGGAGTGGGGAAAGTTGGCATCCCTGTCTTGTTCCTGTTCTTAGGGGAAATGGTTTTAGTTTATGCCCATTAAGTATGATGTTGGCTGTAGGTTTGTCTTATATGGCCTTTATCATGTTGAGATATGCTCCCTCTATTCCCACATTGCTGAGAGTTTTTATCAAAAATGGGTGTTGGATTTTGTCAAATGCTTTCTCTGTGTCTATTGATATGATCATGAGATTTTTGTCTTTCAGTTTATTTATGTGCTGTATCATGTTTATTGATCTGCAGATATTGTACCAGCCTTGTATCCCTGAAATAAATCCCACTTGGTCAGGGTGTATGATTGTTTAATATATTGTTAGATACGATTTGCTAAGATTTTGTTGAGGATTTTGGCATCTATGTGCATCAGGAATATTGGCCTTTAATTCTCTTTCTTTGTTGTGTCCTTATCTGGTTTGGGAATTATGATAATGCTGGCCTCATAAAAAGAGTTTGGAAGTGTACCTTCCTTTTGGATTTTCTGAAATAGTTTGAGGAGTATAGGTGTTAGTTCTTCTTTGAATGTTTGGTAAAACTTCCCTGTGAAGCTGTCTGGACCTGGGCTTTTGTTTGCTGGGAGTTTTTTTTTTTTATTACTGCTTCTATTTCATCAGCTGTTACTGGCTTATTCAGATTTTCTGATTCCTCCTGATTCAGTTTTTGGAGATACATTTTTTCTAGAAATTTGTCTATTTCATCCACATTGTCCAGCTTATTGGCATACAGTTGTTCATAGTATTTTCTTACAATCATTTGTATTTCTGTGGTGTCAGTGGTTACTTCTCCGTTTTGTTTCTGATTTTATTTATTTGGGTCCTCTCTGTTTCTTGATGAGTCTGGCTAACGGTTTATCAATTTTGTTTATCCTTTCAAAAAACCAGCCCTTGGTTTCATTGACTTTTTATTTTTTTGTATTGTTTTTTAGTCTCTATGTTATTTATTTCTGCTCTAATCTTTATTATTTCCTTCCTTCTACTTACTCTGGGCTTTTCTTGTTGTTCTCTTTCTAGTTCTTTAAGTTGTAGGGTCAAATAGTTTTTTGCTTATTTTTCTTGTGGGTTGTTTTTTTTTTTTTGAGGTATGCCTGTAGTACTATGGATTTCCCTCACAGGATTGCTTTTGCTGTGTCCCAGAGATTTGGGGTTGTTGTGTGTTCTGTTTAATTTGTTTCCAGAAGTTTTTTTTATTTCTTTTTTGATCTTGTTGGCAACCCATTCATTGTTTAATAACATGCTACTTAGCCTCCTTGTGTTTGAATGTTTGGGGTGTTTTTACTGTAGTTGATTTCTAATTTCATTCCACTGTGATCTGAGAAGATGCCTGATATGATTTTTGTCTTCTTGAACTTGTAGAGACTTGTTTTGTGTCCTAACATGTGGTCTATCTTAGTGAATGATCCATATGCACTTGAGAAGAATGTATATTCTGCAGCTTTGGAGTGAAATGTTCCATAAATGCCAATTAAATCCATCTGATGCAGTGTATCCTTTAGAGTCACTGTTTCCTTGTTAAGTTTTTGTCTGGAAGATCTATCCAGTGAAGTCAGAGGG